CCCCCCCCCCCCCCCCCCCCCCCCCCCCCCCCCCCCCCCCCCCCCCCCCCCCCCCCCCCCCCCCCCCCCCCCCCCCCCCCCCCCCCCCCCCCCCCCCCCCCCCCCCCCCCCCCCCCCCCCCCCCCCCCCCCCCCCCCCCCCCCCCCCCCCCCCCCCCCCCCCCCCCCCCCCCCCCCCCCCCCCCCCCCCCCCCCCCCCCCCCCCCCCCCCCCCCCCCCCCCCCCCCCCCCCCCCCCCCCCCCCCCCCCCCCCCCCCCCCCCCCCCCCCCCCCCCCCCCCCCCCCCCCCCCCCCCCCCCCCCCCCCCCCCCCCCCCCCCCCCCCCCCCCCCCCCCCCCCCCCCCCCCCCCCCCCCCCCCCCCCCCCCCCCCCCCCCCCCCCCCCCCCCCCCCCCCCCCCCCCCCCCCCCCCCCCCCCCCCCCCCCCCCCCCCCCCCCCCCCCCCCCCCCCCCCCCCCCCCCCCCCCCCCCCCCCCCCCCCCCCCCCCCCCCCCCCCCCCCCCCCCCCCCCCCCCCCCCCCCCCCCCCCCCCCCCCCCCCCCCCCCCCCCCCCCCCCCCCCCCCCCCCCCCCCCCCCCCCCCCCCCCCCCCCCCCCCCCCCCCCCCCCCCCCCCCCCCCCCCCCCCCCCCCCCCCCCCCCCCCCCCCCCCCCCCCCCCCCCCCCCCCCCCCCCCCCCCCCCCCCCCCCCCCCCCCCCCCCCCCCCCCCCCCCCCCCCCCCCCCCCCCCCCCCCCCCCCCCCCCCCCCCCCCCCCCCCCCCCCCCCCCCCCCCCCCCCCCCCCCCCCCCCCCCCCCCCCCCCCCCCCCCCCCCCCCCCCCCCCCCCCCCCCCCCCCCCCCCCCCCCCCCCCCCCCCCCCCCCCCCCCCCCCCCCCCCCCCCCCCCCCCCCCCCCCCCCCCCCCCCCCCCCCCCCCCCCCCCCCCCCCCCCCCCCCCCCCCCCCCCCCCCCCCCCCCCCCCCCCCCCCCCCCCCCCCCCCCCCCCCCCCCCCCCCCCCCCCCCCCCCCCCCCCCCCCCCCCCCCCCCCCCCCCCCCCCCCCCCCCCCCCCCCCCCCCCCCCCCCCCCCCCCCCACCCCCCCCCCCCCCCCCCCCCCCCCCCCCCCCCCCCCCCCCCCCCACCCCCCCCCCCCCCCCCCCCCCCCCCCCCCCCCCCCCCCCCCCCCCCCCCCCCCCCCCCCCCCCCCCCCCCCCCCCCCCCCCCCCCCCCCCCCCACCCCCCCCCCCCCCCCCCCCCCCCCCCCCCCCCCCCCCCCCCCCCCCCCCCCCCCCCCCCCCCCCCCCCCCCCCCCCCCCCCCCCCCCCCCCCCCCCCCCCCCCCCCCCCCCCCCCCCCCCCCCCCCCCCCCCCCCCCCCCCCCCCCCCCCCCCCCCCCCCCCCCCCCCCCCCCCCCCCCCCCCCCCCCCCCCCCACCCCCCCCCCCCCCCCCCCCCCCCCCCCCCCCCCCCCCCCCCCCCCCCCCCCCCCCCCCCCCCCCCCCCCCCCCCCCCCCCCCCCCCCCCCCCCCCCCCCCCCCCCCCCCCCCCCCCCCCCCCCCCCCCCCCCCCCCCCCCCCCCCCCCCCCCCCCCCCCCCCCACCCCCCCCCCCCCCCCCCCCCCCCCCCCCCCCCCCCCCCCCCCCCCCCCCCCCCCCCCCCCCCCCCCCCCCCCCCCCCCCCCCCCCCCCCCCCCCCCCCCCCCCCCCCCCCCCCCCCCCCCCCCCCCCCCCCCCCACCCCCCCCCCCCCCCCCCCCCCCCCCCCCCCCCCCCCCCCCCCCCCCCCCCCCCCCCCCCCCCCCCCCCCCCCCCCCCCCCCCCCCCCCCCCCCCCCCCCCCCCCCCCCCCCCCCCCCCCCCCCCCCCACCCCCCCCCCCCCCCCCCCCCCCCCCCCCCCCCCCCCCCCCCCCCCCCCCCCCCCCCCCCCCCCCCCCCCCCCCCCCCCCCCCCCCCCCCCCCCCCCCCCCCCCCCCCCCCCCCCCCCCCCCCCCCCCCCCCCCCCCCCCCCCCCCCCCCCCCCCCCCCCCCCCCCCCCCCCCCCCCCCCCCCCCCCCCCCCCCCCCCCCCCCCCCCCCCCCCCCCCCCCCC